AAAAAAGTAATTAAAGAAAAGTAGAAAACCCTTGACGTTGATTTGATCAAGTTTTTGCGAGACAGTTCCTAATGATCTTTGGAAAGCAGCGGTGACTTCTGGGTAACGATTACAGAGATGAAAAATGCAGGGGTAAAAAACGTCTCCTTTGTCGGCGAACTCATCCGTTTCTTTTTGCTTCAGTTCAGCTTCGTGGAAATAATCATTCAGATAGCGTGGCTTGTTAACATCACTGGTAGCGTACCAAACTTGGAGCCACGCACATCGTTGACAACGATTCCTTGATAGCGATCGCAAGAGGCGACGTGGGTGACAATACCGGTGACAAGCGTATTACGCCAATGCGAACAGGATTTAATATCGTCGTTCGATGCTGTTCCTTCTTCCTTTTTTTTTTTTTTTTTTACCTCGGGAACAGATTTATGCCTGTCCAATTGAATAGATTTACATCTGCATACACCTGCTCAATATATTACGTTCTAACACATAATATTACGTTTTCATTGCATTGCTTTGAAGCACATCTTCTGCTGTAAATTAAGACATTTTTTTTTTAATGAAAAAAAAAAAGGAACTTAACTGATTTAGTTTGTCTAAGATAAATATATCCTGTTTCGCTACAAAAGAATTATTATAAAATTCTTAAATAATTTAATAGTTGAAGAGTTCATTTAAACTCTCAAGTAGCTTGTTCCAACTTGAATTCCATAACAAGTAACATCATTTAAATGTCGATTATCTCAAATCATTTAAAGTATAATTCGACTTTCTCTCCAGTGTTTGGAACTGTTTGGAGAAATGTTTCCAAACTTCGTAGAGAATCAGCGAATTCAGCGAAGAAGGTAAACGACGCGAAATGCCGGAGGATATGATTACCAGTATAGCCATAACTCCTTACGTATGATCGGCGAATCATTTATTAATTTTCCATCCTGAGAGACAATTTCTTAAATCGATCGTCTCGATCGGCCCGCCTTCTGTAATTTCAACTATACACACGCAATCACTATCCGCGAATGTGTTCGTTGCTTTTTTCCCTGTCTTGGAGAGAAAAGAGAAAAAAAAAACGAGAGGAGAATATCTCAAGGACAGGCGTAAACACGTCTCGAGGTTATCACCTCGATCCATTCGTTCGACTTAGCGAGGTATATTGTGTTAATATAATCGCAGTAGGCCTTGAATGTCGTAAATCACTGAAAAAGAAAAAGAAGCACTTCGACGTAATTCTTCACTAATTCAGCGTCTAGTTAAAAAATTTTCAATACCAAGGTTAATCGTTATTTCCATTGATTACTATTGGTTACATGCATTCACGAATGATCCTAAGAATTCTTTGTATAAATGCGAAGCGTCAAATCAATATTTTTGCAACGATAGATGATTCACACTGCGTCACAGAGTTCAAAATCTATCGTGTATCGTATACATTCATCACTTGTGTATGTATAAAGCACCGAATTTTAGTTCTGCGCCTTTGCTTGCCCGGCCCAAAAAACAATTCCTCGAAGTCACGCCAACTGATTGCCCGTAATTCCAACGGTGGAGAGCCGTAATCGTGTTCCCAAATAAAGACCTTTCTAAGAAGAAAGTCCCAAGGACAGTCACAAGCACAATTCCGTGGCTGGCCAGCCGATGAATTGTACGCGCAAAAAGTAATTCAGGTATGATCTATCTGTGAAGTGTCAAATCTATAGTTGTGACATTGCTTTCGTGCAGTGGACGATGTAGAATTCTCGATGGATGAAACGTCTGTGGCACACTTTCGTCGTCCATTTCCATCCGGTAGCAACTGCAAATGACAAAAATGAAAGTTCTAATAATAAAGACAAAAATCTTACCGTACACTTTAGAAACTGAACTTGATGTCTATTCGAGAAAGAAGTATACATCACATGAACAAGAAACACGGACAGTTTCACTGAGTTTGTTGATAATCTAGTTGTGGTTTCTTGCAGGTACTTTGATTTGATGATCTCGAGACACTTGAATTACAATTATATCTTTATGAGTAGAAATATTATTGGATAGTCGGTAGATATTATTACAACATAGTTGTAATAACTCAAGGAAATTAATATGTAATTATAAAATATTTTGCCATTTAAAAAAAAAGAAGAAAAAAACAAGAATCTGAAACTTTTAATATTTCGTTAGAAGTAACTATGGAAGCGAATCGAAGCATCGGTGTTGCACTGAAAACAATTCGAATTCGTGTTGCGCCCATCGCTATCCGAAGCAAACGTGGTAATAGAGGCCAGGTAGGCGGGTCTCTGCGCACGAAAAGTAGGGCCCTGCGGCTCCGCGGGGAACGTTTTTCTCTAAATTACAGCTCCGCTCGACTCGTTCGTTCCCTGTCCGAGCCTTTCCCGCGAGCGACCGAGCCACACTCGCTTCTTCTTGTCCGGCCGGCCACTACCTGAATTCCCGATTTCTCCCGACGATCGCGCTCGCGATTTCTCAAACGCGTGGAAGAACAAGCGTCAGCTTGACGCCGTTATTGTCGTTTTGCCCGAGCTTCTTACTTTTGCACGTGACCTGGTCCCCTCGATTCACCAATGGCAAGTGAAACGACTCATCTTCCAATTTCTTCTCTCTGCATCATTTATTTCAATCGTAATCGAGTCAGTCGCTTGCGACCTCTCCTCGAAAGGAGATTTCATTAACGTTAGAAACTAGTTGGTCGTTATTAGAAAGAAAAACTTGACGAACGATTTCTCTCTTCTCTTGTTCTGAGCTATCAATTTCCGCTTCTCTGTGTAGTAAACAAGATTTTGAAACAAGTGTAACAGAAACAAGAATCTGCATACGTATGTAGGTTAGATTCCAGTTAATCTGGATTCAATAGTCTTGTTTTGTCGTAAAATATATACGTATATCTTTCAGGTATTTGGTCATCAATACTTGTCAGTAGAAGTAATAGTTCTCTCCAGTATAGAGTGCTTAACGGTTCGACGACAGCCGTTCATTAGGATGAAGCATAGAAGTATAGGATCGATCGCTAGCCAAATCTGCTGAATACGCTGGTGTGCTTCAACATTTTCGCAACATATCCCGATATTTATTGAAGAAGATAGGTAAACCGGATCGCGTGCAGGCTATAGGTATCTTCGAAGAATGAAAATAGAGAAATAATCCAACGCCCCAGGACGAGGTTCACTGGGCGCAAATTTCCATCATCCTGCCGCTCTGCGGGATCTTTTCCTTCTCTCTCTCTCTCTCTCTCTCTCGTCTCTTTTTCTTTTGTTTTCTCATCATTTCGTCAGTTGATCTGCTTCGATCTATAACATATCCGGTGAACGCTTGAATTTAACACTTCCAAGGAGAGTTTCAATCTATAATTAACAGTCATTGCATAATCTAGCGATATTGATTACGATATATTAAATTCCACGGTTGGTTGTAAAAGGTTCCAGTTGTGCTTGGCAGCAGCTGGCCGTTTAATTACCAAGAAAAACCTGTATCCGGAACATCGCCCGGAATCGGGGATCGTTTCTCTTCTGACGCAGAAGATAGAAGTTCAAAGTTCAGTCGTAAAGCCTCGACTGTAAAAAGCTCGAGGAACGATTTCAGCATTCCAGGCTAACAGCCGCGTGCCATAGCTCGCGCGTCGCGATTTTCATTAACTCGATTCAACTCCTCTTCTTCTCTCTAAGGTAACTCTGTACCGTTCGCAGCCCCGTAATTCCACGGAAATGATCAAGCTTCCTCCATCTTCCTCTTGCCTTCCCGTTCCCTTGCCTGTCCCGTTTCGCGTACTGCACGAGCACGAAAAGGACGAGAGGAGAGAGAGAGAGAGAGAGAGAGAGGAAAGACAAACCTTTCGTTCGCAACGAAACCGACAGCAGCAGAACTGATGGGCAGTTGGTCCCTGGCGCGCTGTTGGATGAACTCACGTAGGTTCGAGCATGCCCCATCAACAGATGGATTCCAACCTACAATCTGCATAATTCCCCCAACTGATTGGCCTTATAGCAAGCCTTGCGCCCAGCTTGCGATCCGATGGAACTCCACTTCCATTAACAACTCCTTTTTTCATTCCTGCCGATCGCTTCGGGACCTTGAGGCTCGTGCAGCACCTCGAGCTCAGCAGGCGATAGCATATTGTTTACACCGCTCGATTCATCGGCGCTCGATTTCCGATCTGAAGTCGTCGGGGTCAGAAGAAATCAATGGATGCATCGAACGTCGTCAGTTCTGAAAGAGACGAATAATTCTGAAATTATAATGCTATTTAATCATTCGAAAGAATTATATGTGTTATTATTGAATGATTAGTATATGTTAATACTATTTGAAGATTTGCAAAGATATAGTACATCAATCAACAAGTCTTACGTAACGATGAAAAGTCTGCGCAGGTAGGAAATGTTGAATGTTTAAAGATAGATTAACCATTTACCATTCTTCCCGGACGATCTCGAATCGTCTAATGCGTATCCTGACCAGTCGAGAATAATTGTCCAGTGTCGACATAACAGGAGCACCGAGGAAAAGACAGTGTTTACAAATACTGAAACGAATAATTCTGCTATTATAATTATAATGCTATTTAATCATTTGAAAGAATTATATGTGTTATTATTGAATGATTAGTATATGTTAATACTATTTGAGATCGGCAAGGATATAGTACATCAATCAACAAGTCTTACGTAACGATGAAAAGTTCTGCGGAGGTAAGAAATGTTTAAAGGCAGATTAACCATTTACCATTCTTTCCGGACGATCTCGAGTCGCCTAATGCGTATCCTGACCAGCTGAGAATAATTATCGACATAACAGGAGCACCGAGGAAAGGACAGGGTTCACAAATATTGAAACGAATAATTCTGAAATTATAATGCTACTTAATCATTCGAAAGAATTGTATGTGTTATTATTGAATGATTAGTATATGTC